GATTGCAAAACCCTATTGAGTCTAGTTTTAAATTGGAGCTTAAGTCGAATATGCAACTTATTTTGGAGGTTTTGGTATATGTAGCCTTTGGACCTTTGAGGAAGTAGAACTATGTATACCACAGTGTGTGGTAGAGGAAGTTTCTCACCACGTGGCAGCCAAGAAACAAAGAAAGGAAGATGAAGAGTCATGGGTCTCAATACCCCCTTCCACGGAAGTTCCCAATAACCTACAGGCCTATCATGAGGCCTCGTGGAAAGATTCTACCACCTTCTAAGACCAAGACTAGAACACCTGTGCTTTAGGGAACATTCAAGATCCAAAGCATAGCAACAGTTAAAGAACTCTTAGTGATACGGTTTGCAAACTCAGAAGCATTTGTTCAACTTATCTATATATGAATTGGGAAAGACTTTTGAACGAGTATCTTGTCATTCTCATATTTCATTAAGAATCATTCAAGTCGGAGTTATTTAATGCTGTGGCTGAAGTGTAGAATTGTGCCAACCGTTCCTGTATGTTTTACACAGTGTGTTTGTGTCCTGTACCTGGGAAATATTTGTGTGTGTGTGTGTGTGTGTGTGTGTGAATACTAGGGTGTGAACTCAGGCCCCTCACACTCTCTTGGTGCTTTACCACTTGAGCCACACCTCCACTTCCAGCTTTTTGCTGGTTTATTGGAAATGAAAGTCTCACAGCTTTTCTGCTGGGGCTGGCTTCCCACTGGACTTCTCAGATCTCTGTCTCTTGAGTAGCTGGGATTACACATGGGAGCAACCGATGTCCAGCTTACTTGGGGAAGATTTCAGAATTTCTAGATGGCGCGAAAGGGCCGCACTGTGTTCATCCGAACTGGAGCACCCCAGAGCACCCCGGAGGAGGGGCCATGTGGAGAAATACTGAAGATACTGTTCCCCCAGGAGTTAGAAAGCTGCTTTTCTCTGCAATCATTCTGTCAAAAGACACTAGAAACCATGCCATCGCCCACACAAAGTGGACCCACACGACGCGCAATGTGTTCTCACGGGTTTTTTTCTAATCCAATCGTGCACATTTCCCCCTCCGGGGTGCTCACACACAAGAGACACCCGCCTCCTGTGGAAACACTATGTGGTGACTTGGAAAGGAAGGGAGGTGTTGTTTTCCCATCCGTTTGGCTGGCGGTGTCTCCAGCGGCCCTGCCTCTCTGCCCATTTGTCTTTAGCGCCATCCTCATGTCAGACCGGGCACCAGTGAGCTAGCACACCAACGTGATCACGGGGACAAACCTGCTGTGCTTTGCTCCTGGTGCCAGGCTCGCGAGGATCCGCTGGGGAACCCCATCCTGGGGACCCCAGATTCGCTTTCCCAGCGACACCCCTACCCATGCCCTCAACCTCAACCAATGATCAAAAAGGCTTGCCAAGGAATTGGGACTCCAGACCCAAATAGGTAGAGATTTGAATCGAATCCCTTTGAGGCGCGCTCTGGTTTTCCTTTCCACAGCAATGAATCAGTGTGTGGCTGGGAATTCAGAGAAAGCGGGCCTCTGTCCCCCTACCTCCTTTTCTTAAAAGAATAAAGAAGAAGAAGAACAATTCTTTCCTTGAAAGGATAGAATACCTATGGGCAGCTGATCATATAAAATAATATGTATGGAAACGAAGTCCAGGAAAAGGAGACAAGAGGTTTTTGTGTTCCTTTGTTGCTGTTTATGTTTTCTTTAAAAACATCTTTCTTTCTTTCTTTCTTCCTTCCTTCTTTCCTTCCTTCCTTCGTTCCTTCCTTCCTTTCTTCCTTTCTTTCTTCCTTGCTTTTTTGCCAGGGCAAATATTTATCTTAGGGCTCGAACTCAGGGCCTGGACGCTTTCCCTGAGCTTCTTTCGCCCAAAGGGAACACTCTACCACTTGAGCCACAGCGCCACTTCCAGCTTTTTCTGAGCAGTTTATTGGAGATAAGAGTCTCACGGACTTTCCTACCCTTACCTGGCTTCGAACCGCGCAATCCTCAGATCTCAGCCTCCTGAGTAGCTAGGACGACAGGCGTGAGCCACCGGTGTCAAACATTCTTTTCTTAAAAGAATTAATAACAACAACAACAACAATAATAATAATAAACAGAATGAAAAATTAGGAGAGAATTAAAAACATGCTTTTCTTACGAGAATAAAGGATCTGCCAGTGGAGAAGAGGGAGGCCAGGCCAGGGGGTGCCAGGCTGACTCTTTTTTGGGGGGGTGGGGGTTTAGGGGTGTGGGTGGAGAGGGTCCATGCCTTCTGCGCTGCCCACTGACCTTTCCCAGCTCTGCTCCAAACCTGAAAGGGGCCGACCGGTGCCAACCACTCTGTTCCTTCTGGACACTTGGGGAGAAAGAGGGTGTCCAGCCCCCCCCCCCAACTTCCATCAGCCCTTTCATATCCATCCACCCTCCAGCCTCCCCTCCCCAGCCCACCCCTCGGCGGGGTGCGAGGGGGGGGGGAGGGCAGAGCCTGGCGCCTTTGGTGAGCCTGTGGCGGCCTCTGGCGGAGCGCGGGCGCGCAGGGCCGCGGCGGGGCGCCGTGGCGAGGTGAGGGCGCGCGCGCCGGGGCGCAGGGGGGCGCCGGGGAGATCCGCAGCCGGGCCGCGCGCTGGCGGGCGCTGGCGGGGGCGGGGGCCGCGCCGAGCGGAGCCGCAGGGCGGCGGCGGCGGTTCCCCGGTTCTTCCACCCACCCGGGAGCATTCTGGGGAGTGGGGGGGGGGGAGGAAGTTCGGCGCTGGCAGAGCATGGGGCGGTGACGCCGCACACCGGCCTCCCGCGCCTGCCAGCCGGGGCGATCGGGCGGCGGCGGAGAAGGAGGATGCAACCTTCGCCGACGGCTCGCCTACCGGGGTGCTGGGTAAGCCCCGGGGAGGGGGTGTGGGTGGGAGTGGAGGGGCGCCCCGGGCTGGGGCTCAAGGAGAGGGTGTGTGTGTGTGTATGGGAGAAGGGGGTGGAGGATCCTGGAGGTGGGAGACCCAGCTGCAGGTGAGGGGTGCGAGGGTCGGCGGCACCCCGGGGGTCGGCCGGGCCCTCCCTCCCCCACGCCACCCCCTCCCCGCGTGCGGGCAGCGGCCGGCCGGGGCGCAGAAGTGGAGACCGGGCCAGGCGCCTCCGATCGCCCGCGGTGTAAACTTTTCCCCTGGCGACGGCGGACTGCAGGGGTGAAGCTGCGCGGCGGGGAGCCGTGGGGCGAACCCCCCTCCCTCCCCCACCGGGCTGATGCAGCCTGGTTCGGATGGGACCGGGTGCAGGGCGGGGAGGGGGGTAGCCCACCCCTCACTTCCTCCCCCCACCACACACCATGAGAGACCAGGAGGACGCGATCGCCCCTCACCTGGAAGGTTCCATACCCCACTCCCACCCCATCTCCCTCCCCCCCACGCCTCCGGGCGTTCGTGGCAGGGTGGGCGCAGGGAAGGAGGGGGGGCGGCACGCGAGGCCACTGCACCCCGGCCGCGCGCTCCCAGCCGGAGAGGAAGGGCGGGCGCTGCACCCCGGGGCTGGAGCGCATGGCTGGCTGCGACCCAGAGGCCCGGGGTGGGGGGGGGGTGAGGAACAGGGGGGGTTTGGGGGATAAGTGGGGGGGATCTCTGCGGGCCCCGGGACGAGGGTGGCCGATCTGAACCCGGAGTGGCTAGGACTGGGGTGGCAGAGAGGCTGCGGCTCTGCAGTGCCGCCACCATCACCCCCCCCCCCATGTCCCTGCCCACCCGCGTGGGGCGCCGCTGGCCTTGGCGAGTCAGCAACCAACCCTGACCCCCCCCCGCCCCGCCCCGGGAGAGCAGAGTCTCCCCTGGCGTATGGAGGAGGGGGAGGCTTGGGGAGGGGTCGAAGGTTGGGGAGGGATCGAAGGTTGGGGATGGGGGAGGGTGACGAGAGAAGGCTCTTGGATCCCCCACACACACACACACAACACACCCCACCACCCCACTCTTGCCCCCTGGTCCAGCCCCCTTCCACATAACCACCCCATACCACCCCCAGGACCCGCCCAGGTTGAGCCTTTTTTATTCTTCCCAGCAATGGAAGAGGGCTTTTTTTTTTTTTCAGGTGGAAGTGCTTTATGTGCTCCCCAAATCTAAAGTTGTGGGGGTGATGGGGGGGTCTCCCCAACAAAGAAAAGATTCCTCATTGAACTCTGGGTTGTTGGCATTTGATGAGCCTCTGCCTGCCTGGTGCGCAGGTGGCGAAGTTCGGTGTGCCTTGTCTGAGCTGCCTGGGCTGGAGACAAGCAACCAGCCTCTTGCCTGGGTTACAATCGCCTTCATTAAGGCCCAGCTCCCATTATTAAGTCATTTAGTCATGGGGGGAGGGCGGGGAGGATGCTCAGGAAGTACGAAGTCTCTCTTAGAAGCAGTCCTATTATTGCCAGCCTGGAGAACGACTTCGTTTTTTCTAAATGTGTGTGTGTGTGTCTCTCTCTTTTTTTCCTCCTTTTTTCCCACCTACTTTTCCTTCTCTCCTCCCGCCCTCCCTCCCCCTCCCCACACCTCCCCAGCACCTTGTACAACCAGGAGGAGCCTGCTGGCTTTGAACCAGGTGTCAGAGATTTCAGAAAAGGTAAATGATTCCACCTTGCGGATTTAAGAGATTCAAGGTGATGGTGCCTTGGAAAACTTGAGAGCGCCGATTTGAATCGTGGAAACCGTGGGGGTGTTTACTAATGTACTAAAAATAAACAGAAAGTAGTATTGGAGACCTGGAAAGGGGTGGGGAAGTAGAATCAATTCGAATGATTTTTTTGCACCCTGTCAGTGCCCAACTGGAAATTCAGCCTTATAGTCACCAGTCTGTCACCCACCTAACTGCCCGGTGAACATTCTAGAAGTCACTTGGTGTGTGTATGTGTGTGTCTGCTGGCAGGAAGGGGAGATGGTGAGGCAGACACCTTGTCTGTCTGTACGTGTTGTTATGTGGTCGTAGCATATAACTCGGTTTAAATCAGTGGCACCAAAAAATATCAGTTATAGGCTAATGTTGGCCCCTTTTCTGTACTTTTCAGGCTCAAGATCAAGTTGGAGAGAAGAATCTTTATTCTCACAAACTTCATCTTGTTTCCACAACTATTCTCATTGGGAATGGACAATGGAAAGGTCTCTAGCTTTATCATGACCAAAAACCTCCTCCTCTTTTGTATTTCCTTGAACTTAACCAGTCACTTCGGGTGAGTTATTATTATCTGTGCTTTTTGGCCTTGGGGTTTTTTGTTTGCTTGTTTTTGTTGTGTTGTGTTGTGTGGGTTCTGGGGCTTGAACTCTGAGCCTGGGTGTTGACCCTGAGCTTTTGGGCTCAAGGCTAGTGCTCTATTACCATAGCATCATTTCCAGGCTTTTTGGGGGGGTTTTTGGTAGTTAATTAGAGATAAGTGTCTTACGGATTTTCTTTCCCGGGGCTGGCTTTGAATCTCGATCCTCAGCTCTCAGTCTCCTGATTAGCTAGGATTACAGGCCTGAGCCACTGACCCCCCAGTTTGTTTGGTATTTGTGAGGGGTGGGGGCATTGGAGCCTTGAAAAGAGGAGCAGTAATTCAGCAAGCCCTGGCTTGTCCCTTTTGCTGTCTGACTCCCTTCAGCTTATTGTAAATAAATGAAAGCCTTTCCCTTGACCTACAGATACATTCCTCCTGAGCCAAGCGGCTCCAGGTGTGTGTGTGTGTGTGTGTGTGTGTGTGTGTGTGTGTGTGTGTGTGTGTGTGTGTGTGTGACAGGTCGGTGGGGGGGGGGGGAATTCTCTGGAGTGAGTCACAGAAAACGAAGCTATTATTTGTCAGAAATGGAAGCCAAAGATGTTTCAGAGTAAGCCACGTTCCCTCCTACTGGGATTAAAACTAGCTTCAGAAGTTCATGTACATAAAGGATGTCTGCTGCTGTTAGACTGGACAGCATGCAGCATTTAGATGGTCCTTTGGAGGCAATTCTTTATGGCATTGAATCTACCAAAGAACCCAACTCAGTCCTGGCTTGACCCAAGGGCCCGGGACAGCCCATGTAAATGCAGAAATCACACGCTACACCTGGCTATGATTTGAAAGACACCCTCGAGATTCTGCATACGACCACTTCCTGAGCCCCTTTCACTTGATTGTTGTTGGTGTAGATAGCCCTGTGTCAGTCCTCACCTTGGTCCATTAAACTAGTATGAACCAGTGTTCCAGATGTGGCTTCTGAGAAGGCAGCTGTTGCTCCTCTAATTTAGCCCATCTCTGCCAGGGTCTCAAAATTCTTCTGGCTCATGATAAATCATTGCAACCTAAAGCTGATGGAATTCCAAGGAATTCCCTTTCCGGATCAATGTTGCCAAAGTGTTAGTTCTATTAAAAAGAAAAGAAAAGGTGGAGGGCGGGGGGATGGACAGTGTATTCTGCACATGTGTAAACCTTAAAGGCAGATTGGGTGGACAGCGACTACAGACAAGTAAAAATGTCTTCTTCTAGGGCCAGGGCATTTACAGTTTATCCTGTGGACCATTCTCTGTTCTGCTGAGCCTTGAAGATTTGAGCAGAGAAAGAAAAGGACAGACTTAAAGTCTTCCTTCTCAGGTGCTGTCACAGTAGCTCAGGTGGGTGTAAGCCCATGTGTGAGTCTGTCCAGCAGAGTATAGTGAAGCAGTGTGCCTATCAGCATTACTGGCCACAGGTGTCTGATGTTCTTCTGGCCCTGTCTATCTGAAGGGAGGCTCACTCTCCAAGGCCTTAAATGAAGGCTTTCCTTTCTACATCCTCTGCAACTGTTCAGTCTTAGAAGCTCTGGCGTCCACTGTGTTTTTCTGAATGGAAGGCGTATTCATTGGTGAACTGCTACAGAGCACATCATGTTATGATTGTAGGCATGGCGGGATTTGGGTTTATTTACTGATCGACTGACTGTGTATAGGCAGTGATCTTTTGGAATTGACACATTCACGAGAGAACTGGGTGGGAAACTTACAGCTTTTTGACAATTTAGCCTTAAACCGGAAGCCACTTGTACAAGTTGTTATAGTAGATCTCTCATTTTGTTCTGTAGGTCATGTACAAAGTAGATGGTAATGATGGTGTTCTAGAAGGAATCACTGAACACGTCAACCCTGAATCTTTCTAGAAGATTCACTGTTGCAGAATATTTTAATTTTTTTAGCTAGACATATTTTTAATAGCCCACTATAAAACACTAGAAACATGTGGGATATAATAAAGTATAGGGAAGCAAAAGGTCCTTAATTCAGCTACTCACTCAGAGATGGTTATCTTTTGCATTATTGTAGCTTTTTTTTTTTTTTTGTCGGTCGTGGGGCTTGGGTGCTGTCCCTGCACTCTTCAGCTCAAGGCGAGTGCTCTACCACTTGAGCCACAGCGGCACTTCTGGTTTTCTAGCAGCTTACTGGAGATAAGAGTCTCATGGACTTTCCTGCCTGGGCTGGCTTTGAACCATGATCCTCAGATCTCAGCTTCCTGAGTAGCTAGGATTACAGGCGTGAGCCACCAGTGCCTTATTTTTTTCCTTGCTTCTGTGTCTATTCCTGTACAGTTGTGAACGCATTGTGTGATCAGTTTTTTATTATTTTTGTGGACCTAATACATTATATATATATGTATATATATATACACACACATATATGTGTGTATATATATACATATATACGTGTGTATATATATGTATATATACATATACATATATATGTATATATATTTAACAAATTCTTTAAACTATATACTTTTTAAAAAATGAACAGCTATTATTATAGCGCATGCATGCATTGGCTTAACTTCTTCCCTCCTTTGAAATGCCTTCTTGTCTCTGACTTTGCTATCACAAAATTTCCTGGAAAGAAATTATTTACTTTGCAGCTTTAAAAAAAACTCTTTGAAATTATTTCTCTTAAAAGATATTCCTGTAAGTGAACTTTTATGCAGGGCTCTTTGAGTGTTTTTAACTCTTGTTATGTATTGGGCTTTTCCAGATAGGACCTTGCTATCTATATTTTTCAGATTAGCCTGGATCATATTATGTAGTTGAGTCTGGTCCTAAACTCTGAATCTTCGTGCCTCAGCCACTCAAATGCTGGGTTTGGGACTTTGAACTCTTTTTTTTTCTTTTTTTGGCAGTCATGGGTCTTGAACTCTGGGCCTGAGCACTTGTCCCTGAGCTCTTCAGCTCAAGGCAAGCACTCTACTACTTGAGCCACAGCACCACTTCCAGTTTTCTGGTGGTTCATTGGCGATAAGAGTCTCATGGACTTTCCTGCCTGGACTGACTTTGAACCATGATCCTCAAATCTCATCCTCCTGAGTAGCTAGGATGACAGGTGTGAGCCCTGGGCACCCAGCAGGGCTTTGAACTTTTGACTCTGCCATGTCTACCTGCTTTTAATAAAAAGGGGATTTCAGTCAAAACTCCTTCTGTCCAGCAAACAACAACTGCAAAGCACAGCCTAAAGAGACCCAGCCGGCATTTTTTCCTCTTCTACAGGGTTGCTCTCATTTGCACATTCCCTAAATGCATGTAAGAGTAATTTTATTGAAAACCCAAAGGCAGCTTCATAACAGTTGTTGTTTTTTACTTTACATTTTGACAGAATAATAGCAAGTGCAATGCAGAGTGCCTGTTTTTTTTTGTTTTTGTTTGTTTGGTTTATTTTGGTCCAGTCGTGGGGCCTGAACTCTGGGCCTGGACACTGTCCCTCAGCTGTTCAGCTCGAGGCTAGAGCTCTACCACTTGAGCCACAGCGCCACTTCCGGCTTTTTTCTTTTTGCTCATGTGGTGCTGAAGAATTGAACCCAGGGCCTCATGCATGCAAGGCAAGCGCTCTACCACTGAGCCACCTTCCCAGCCCAAGAGTGCCTGTTCTTGTGAGAGTTTCAGAACAGTGGAGTCTCTGTGGGGACCAGACACCCTCAGCCCCATCCTCCAGCTGGGGCAGGTGGATGGATGAAGAGCTAATAATGTAGGAGGTCCACAAAGCCAAGAGTCGCTGGGGTTCTTTATTTGTCAGTCTTCCATGTCATTCTGCCTGGATCTATTGTATGATCCTTTGACTACAGACAGTCAGTCTGGAGAGAAAAGGAAGTCTAATTCTCAAAGGTGTCTTCAGCGTCTGAGGTAGAGGTTTCTATACTCTGAGATCGGGTGTAGTCAGTAATCTGAGCAAGCTCTATGTTTTTTTTCCCCCTTCTCCCTAAGAAAGAGTTGATGTAATTGGAATTCAAAAGAAAAGTGAAGGGCTGGAAAGGTGGCTTAGTGGTAAAGTGCTTGCCTTGCGTGCATGAGGCCCTGGGTTTGGTTTCTCAGCAACACATAAGCAGAAAAAGCTGGAAGTGGCATTGTGGCTCAAGCGGTAGAGCACTAGCCTTGAGCTGAAGAGCTGAGGGACAGCGCCCAGGCCCAGCATTCAGGCCCCACAACCAGCAAAAAACAAACAAACTAACAAAAAAGAAAAGTGAAAAGGTTAAATACGTGTGGCTTACATCTGTAATCTCATGGTTCAAAGCCAGCCTGGGTAGGAAAGTCCAGGAGACTCTTATCTTCATTCAGTTAACCACCAAAAAAAAAAAACAAATAGAGCTGTGGCTCAAATGGAAAAGTGCTAGCCTTGAGCAGAAAAGCTCAGGGACAGTGTCCAGGCCTTGTGTTCAAGCCCCAGTAATGGTACACACACACACACACACACACACACACATACACACACACACACACACACACACACACACAGAGGTGAACAAAAATCTGTGTTTCAACATGAATCTAGAACCAGACAAATGCTGACATTTTAAAATGCAATCACTAGAGTCCAGAGAACCGGTTAAGGTAAGAAAGGGATACAGAAAGCCAGGCTAGCCCGCTGCTGGTAGCTCCTATCTGTAATCCTAGCTACACAGAAGGCTGAGATCTGAGGACTGAGATTCAAAGGCAGGCCAGGCAAGAACGTCGGAGAGACTCTTAACTCCAACTAACCACCAAAAAGCCTGAAGTATTGCTGTGGCACAAGTGGTAGAGCAGCAGCCTTGAGTACAAAAGCTCAGAAACAGCTCCCAGGCCCTGAGTTCAAGTGGAAGGAAGGAAGGAAGGGAGGGAGGGAGGGAGGGAGGGAGGGAGGGAGGGAGGGAGGGAAGAGGAGCCCAAACAATGCGAAACATTGTCCAAAATTGAGTATGCAGCATTTAAGAAAAGGGTGTTGAATTTGAAAAAA